AGGCGTGTCCCATCACATGACGTTTGCGCATGGAGCCGCTTTAAGGCCTCCTTGGTTCCTCGGCCGCAAAAGGGAAGTGGGAACCGGCGGCGGCGCACGAGGCTTTTCCAGCCTTAAATAATTAAGGAAAAGAAATAAGAAGGTGCCCGGAGAGAGCCCGGCGTGCGCTCACTTGGCGACTCTCTTCTGCCGCTCCTTGTGCCGCTGCTGCTCCCGCACTTGCTCCCGCTCCAGGTCCATGAAAAGGCGCCGGAATCGCAGGAATTCCCGTTGGCGCTAGCGGAGGGAATAAGAGGGTTGAGGCTCGCGGTGCCGGATGGAGCAAGGGTTGGACATGAGCGGATTCGGGGCGAATTGGGCAGCTCAAGGCTTGAGGTGCTACATGGTTAGGGCCATTCCCGGGATTTATCCGGGTCAGGGGAATGTCCCGGAGCTCCTTGGGGAGCTGGAGATCCCACGGGAATGACTCGGTGCCAAGGGACAAACCTGCTTCTTCCTTTCCTCCTCGTCCACTCCAGCCCAGAGCTCGAGGGACACTCGGGAGCCGGGCGACTTCGGATCCTTCCCGGAGCCGCCGCCAAGCTGGAAGACAACACGGGCAAGTCCTCCCAAATTCCCACCTTTTTCCCCCATTTCCAAGCTCTCCAGCTGGGACTAACCCCCCCAAATCCCAGCTCGGACATCCGAGTCTCACCTTTTCCAGCTCAATCCTGCAGCAGAAGTCGCCTTCCCGCTCGGCGCTCGCTTGCTCCTGCAGTTCAGCCGGAAGGTCGTGACAGCCAAACAGGAGAAATTCCTCCTCTTCCTCCTCCTCTTCCTCCTCTCCGGAGCCCAGGAGCGTCCCGGATGACGCCGGTTTCTGGAAGCAAAGAGGACGAGATGGGGATCTTGGCATCCAAGGGGAAGGACAGAAGCCGCTGCCCTTGTCCTGTCTACTGTGGATAGGGAGAAACACGGATTCCTTGGGGGCAAAAATGACACAGGTGACCATTAAAGACTCCCTTTTTACCCATTTTTTTTAGCAGATCTCCATTAAAAAAAACATTTTTATCCATTTTTAGCAGATGACCATTAAAGACCCCTTTTCCCCCATTTTTCAGCTGTTTCAGTCTTACAGTACCAACAGAGACTCATGCAGCTCATCAAGATATTCCCTCCTGGACTAAATTGCCCAGGGAAGCTCCTAAATTGTCACAAAAGGCAGGTTTTAAGGGAAAAAAGAGGGTAGATTAACATTTTTTACGGGGCATAAGTACAATTTGGAGGTGAAAAATAGAGTTTTGGGGAGAGGGAAATATGGGGTGGCCCAAAGTCCTTCCAGCCCCGTTTCTCACACCCAAAGTGTCTCATCACGGGGCTCGGTATCGTCACCTAATCTTGGAAACGGGGAAATCAGGCTTGGAAAAGGGATTTATCTTATCTTGGTAGATAAGAGCGCGGGGAGATGGTGCCGCTCGCTTGGCCGCTTTCCTCCAACGGTAGCACCGGGACGGAGCCCTCGGGAAGCGCCGGTTATGGAGCGGCGGCACCAAAACCACGTTGGTTTTTCCACCCGGAATTCCAGGTCGGAGCTTCCCGGACACTCACGTCTCTCCAGGCGCCTCCGGGCGACTCCGACGCTCCGGATCCCGTCTTGCAGGCCGCCAGCCTGCGCCGAACCTCCCTCACCGCCTTGCTGAGCTGCGGGGAGAAGCAACGGGGGGACAAAACGAGCCGCAAAACGGGCTTCGGCAAACACAAAATTATCCAAAAGACCCTCAGTTTCACCCCACTCCGCCTTTCCGGAGGCTTCCAGAGCCGCACGGAACGGGAGCCGCAGGGAAGTGGCACCACCTAGTGCCCCACCGCAGCACAGGGGTGGCCCCAAATTATTGATGTTTTTAGCCAAAATATACCATAAAATAAG